CATTGATTATTTTCTTAAGAAGTCACTTAGTAAATACAACTGTTGATCAGTAATATTAAAACTTCGCTCGATCGAGTTTGTGAGATTTTATTCCTGAATACCGCCGTGACTTTGAGCTGTCTGTATGGAGAATAAAGTCCTCCAGAGCTTGAAATCAGACTCTCTTCTTGAGTTCTAATCAAAATAGCTTTTTTCGATAACCGGCTCGATCTACGAGTCTTCTGAAAAATCACGTTGTACCTAATAAGCGTGTTTGTTTACTTTTTAAAATACATAAGAAAAAAAGGTCTAAGTCATTGAAATTTTATTTCAGGTGTTAATAGTATAATTTTATTTCAACTTGCATCTTTCCTTGATTCTTTTAATATGAATAATTCGAAGATAAAACTATGTGCGAGTGTGCGCATGCACAGTGGGCCCCCACGGCGCCCTGCAAGTGCTAGAAACTGATCCCACATGGAACATCAGCATTTCGTTTCCTCATATAAAGTAACAAAGTAATCTATATGGTATAAGAGCTTTGTGCTTGCTAGTGTCGTGTAACATTCGTAATCAAATGACGTAAGACGATCGCTAAACGTTTAATTATCGATCTGCTAACATCTTAGTGAGCGAGTGACACATTTGAATATTCAGACCCCTCACAATAACTCGTTTCTACGCTTCGCGTATCCACGAGTTAAAAATCAATCAATCAGAAGGAATTTTTTAAATTTTCATTTCTTTCTACTTACATCGTGGACTTTCTTGGGCACCATATGCTTGAAGAAGTTTCGCAATGTCATAAAAACCAAGTAAAACAGCGAAATCCAGTGGTGCAAAACCTTCGGTGTTAAGTCTGTAAAAATACTTTTTATATTCAATTTTCATATATTGTTTTCCGCTTTCCCCCTTTTTCTCTCTTGCAGTGCTTCATTCTCTCGTTCATTTATTTATTTTCTGTTTGTTTCTTAGTCAGCCACTCAATTACTCCGTCTATCCGTCCGTCCATCCATTCATCCATTCATCCATCCGTGCGTCCGTACGTCACTCAGTCACCCAATCACTCAGTCAGAAAAACTAGTTTTACCTGTTTACATCGATATCTTCAGTTTCCAATATTGTCGTAACTTCATCCATGTCTTGACAAACAACAGCATCTATGAGACCTAGCCATCAAAACACCACCATTAATGACATAAATTCATTCAGCTCCATGTAATTGGCGTGAGCCATATAGCAGTGAACATTATTGCAAAAAATTAAAAAGCAAAATAAGTGGAAATGAAATATAGTGTAAGATTAATGGTGTTAATTTATTAATGGTTCTTTTTACCATCTATATTATTTTCTTTTCGTCTTTTTAGTTTTTCTTTTAAATCTGCAAAACAAAACAGACAATTATTTCAATCATTAAAAAGGTAAAAAAAAAAAAAATAAAATAAATAAATAAATAAATAAATAAACAAATAAATAAATAAATAAATAAATAAAAATATTGAGAAGCAGCACAGAACATTTAATCATAAACAAGAGTAAAAGTACCCTTAACTACATGTACACCCATTTAAAATCATCTTTATTGAATTAGTAAAGCCTGAACGGCATCACACTAAATTAATGTCCATCCCTGTGAGTACAAGAGGGTCAAATGCACCCCTGAACCCCCTTATCACGCCACTTTACAAAGTCTAATGTTAGGTGGTTCAGAATAAGCAGGACTGGGTTAATTTCACTGTTATACCCCTTACCATGCCCTTGTGTGCCCACCCTCCTCCCCCCTCCCATTTGACCTACCTCTATTACTACCGCTGAATYTATTTTCAACAGAAGCAAGTCTTGTTCTCGGCGAAGGTCTGTGGTTCAGTGACATGGTCCTGTACAGACCTGGGGATTTGGCAGCACTATTCCTATCAGGCGTACTCGCATGACCCGTATTTGTTGGCGAGGGAAGATTCTCCAGGCTTTGAGACCGGGGCTGGACCCTAAGTAATACACAAATACAACCCTTAATTGATCTAGGTTTGTTATCAACATGGCAACGTTTAAATGATTCGTTTCAAAGGCCCCTCATGAATGAAGATCTCAAGTATGAGCCTGCAAATTGCAATGGCAACATTAACTGCAGTAGACACCTTGTTGGCATGGTAACGCTCTGTAACATACCACGTGGAAATTGTACTAATGGATTGCCTTTGATTTTAAAATTGTGTGTTTTTATGCACCTGTTTGACATGATAATTTCTAATATGTTAGCAAACATGCTACTGTCGTCATGCCTTTGATAATTCAATTGCCATAGCAACACGTTTATTGATTACCTCTCAACCACCACTTGAGGTTTACGCTGACTCCTTTGACTCAGTTTTCGCGCCAACTTTACGATGCTGCTTGTCCTGGGAGAAGATAAAAGAAGACTAGTTACATTCGAGCCTAGATGTGTTTGGGAGTTCAACACCATAGACATCGTGGGAAACCTTACATTCGAGCCTAGATCTGTTTAGCAGTTTAAAAGCCACTCTCGAGACTCAATTCGTTGAGCATGCACATTTAGTATGACGAGGATCTGGGGTCAAGAGTGCCTCACAGCCAATCACATCTTGAAGTTCATCATAACACAGGCTTCCCACTCATTCCCACAAATTTACTAATAATGTAAACATACTTGCGGGTGTTGATTGACAGGTCGGATCCCTCGCTGGAACTGCTGTGTTTTGACAATTCTGTGTCATTCCCATTCTATAAATAAATCACAACTTCTTAATATTAATTGATGTCATTTTCTGAGTCTCAAGCGAATTAGCTAAGTACAACTGGATCATCCTGAATCGCTTGAAGGCTTGTGAGGCTATGCAGGGCGAAATCTAGTGTTCTAGTCAACATGTCTGCCGCACGAGAAAGGTTCATTGCACGTCTTCAGTAGCAGTACTGGTTTATAATGCATTGAGGTACCCACCATTGCTCCTCTTGAGATCTTTCTCTGTGGAGTTCCCTCCCCGAGGTTATTCATGAAGTATAGGCCTCCCGGCGTGTAACCAAACGGGACCTCATCAAGATAATTCAGGTTTGGACGGTCATCAACATCATGATCATCTTCTAGACGCCACGCTGAACCTGGTGGAACAAAAATACCATCGCAATCAAGAACTACAAGGAAGTGAGACCCAGATGCTTTAGTCTGCGTAGCGGCGCAGAAAAGGGCTGGAGCTATGGAGGGGGACTGGAGCTAGAGAAGGGAACTGGGGGCCAATCCTTTCCGACTAAGATAATTCCAGATACGGTAGATTTTCACGTGCTCTACATCCAGTTTATCGAATTTTTAAAACGATCTGCGTTAGTATCTTTTTATTTGAGGCAAGTTACAATTTTAGACCGTGTCCTTGAAGATTCCGCCAAGTCGCAGAAACAAGCTCACTTTCATTCTTCAGTTTTTAACGGGGTTCACTTACTTTTCGTTGACAGCGAGAATTTGAGTTTGAGAGGCGCCTTAAACATGTGCCGGCCATTTTTCACCGATGATGGAGACGAGTCCTGGTTCGATGATAATGACGAGATCGTAAAGGCGCGAAGTAGGGGTGGACGAAGACGGACTGGACTTCTAAGAGGATGAGGTTTTTCTACCCTGAAGAATAAATAATAAGTACTTTAGGGGCTATTACTTTAAGGGCTAGTACTTTAAGGGCTAGTACTTTAGGGGCTAGTACTTTAGGGGCTAGTACTTTAGGGGCTAGTACTTTAGTAGGGGCTAGTACTTTAGTAGGGGCTAGTACTTTAGGGGCTAGTACTTTAGGGGCTAGTACTTTAGGGGCTAGTACTTTAGGGGCTAGTACTTTAGGGGCTAGTACTTTAGGG